CTGGTAGCATAGTGCCTAAGGCACTTGACTGCTAACCAGAAGGCTGGTGGTTCAAACCCACCAGCCACTCCTCGGAAGGAAGATGGGGCAATCTACTACTGTAGTGATACTCCCTCGGAAACCCAAGGAGGGATCACTATGAGTCAGGGTCGACTAGACGGCACATAACAACAACAACAACTACATATATTATGATATTCTGCATATTATATTAATTCTATATAATATGATACATTTTTATACATTTTTAATATATAAAAATATATTTCCAAGTCTCTCTTCTTTAAAGAAAAACAAAAGCAAAACAAAAAATGATTTGACAGATATCCTATTTGTTTTTACACCAAGATGGCCTTTTTTGTGGGAGACATAGAACATAAAATATATACAGAGAAACTTAAATGTAGCATTAGGCAGGTGTCTTTGGGCAGGGCTGAATGGAGTGAAACTGAATGGTGCTTTATATTTGAAAGGTAATCTGCAAAAGGAAAGGAGCCCTGATTGTTCAGTAGTTTGCTGGGCTGCTAATTGAAAGGTCAACCCACCAGCCACTCTGTGGGAGAAAGATACAGCACTCTGCCTCCATAAAGATTAAATATGACTGAGTTAGAATGGATTTGAGGACAACGGGTTTGTTTGTTTGGGAATTCTCCAAAAAGAATTACATGTGTGTAAGCCACAGTAAACCTGAACTACGAAATTTTCTTTTAGCTGCTTGTGGGGCAGAGAGACAAGGAGGAATAGACTACTGTTCACCTTCATTTTTTAAAAAATAAAACTAAACAACACAGAGAACAGGGCTTTGTTTTGCATGGGTGTGGCTTCTAATGGATCCTGGAGGCCAGAGTAGCCAGGTGCTGATGCTGTGTTTACCGGCATTACTATGGAGTAAACCCGTTGCGCCTTGAGCATCAGGTCCCTGAAGAGGGTGATGAAACTGCGCAGACAGTTCAACAGAATCTTCCGAGCAGCCTGGTTGAAAACCTTGAGTTCCTCCACAAGCTGGGCATTAAGGGCCTCATACTCCTTTTTGGCCAAGTCTGATTCATCTCCTGTGGACCGCTGCAGGTAGCTGTTGTAATCCAGCAGTTTGTCATAGCGTTTCTGGATCAGTTTCTGAGGCCCTGGGAATAAGGCCAGTAGGGCTGACAGGGGCATGAGGACGAGCCTCTGTAAGTGAGCTGCCTGCCAAAAGAAAACACAATCCTGTTACAGAGAGAGCAAGAGTGACCACGTCCAGCACTATTGTCAGTATGCAGAGAAGCAAAGCATAAAGGAAAATATCCAGCCAAGTTAAAACAGGATCAGATGTTTTTTTGTTTTGTTTTGTTTTGTTTGGTATAATTAAACAGAGGCTAAAGCTTAGCAGGTAGGGCACATGCCCTGGGCACCATTTGAAGGGGAGTGCCACTAAGTAGCTTCTATTAACCATCACAGTTTCCATTGCCAGCTGTGAGAAATCATCCAGCAAATTAAAACTATTACTGTCATATTTGAGAGCTTCCATGGTCAAGCCAGACTGTATGATCTTGCTTTGCTGAATGTAGAAAGAGAAAAAAAAAAACTGAAAGAAATGATTTTGAGCACATCATAGATGAATTTTTGTCGGACATAATAAGGAGGGTACAGTTGTAATTTTTATGCATTGCCATAATGTGTCAAAGATTAACAAACCTGACTTGTGTTTTTAGCTGAAATTATGGTAAAGTTATCTAAAAGATGGGTGTTAGATATTTGGACATGATTGCAAATTTCAGTGCTTGCTCTAAGTACTATTTCCTGTAGACAAACTTCTGTAACTAAACTAATTCAAAGACCTAAAACAGGGACTCTAGACTCTAACATTGAGCCTGAACAGTGCCCAGAAAGAGGCTACCCACCTCCCCAAATACCCCACGTCTCATGATAGCCATTCGTTTTATCACTAGCGTAATCATCAACACATTCACCTTCCTCTTCATTCTAATCACAGAGCTAAACTGAGTTACTCAGCTTACGGTAGTTAACTCTGTCCTCTGACTACTAAGATGGTGTAAATGCTTCCAATATCACTCAGATGCTTTTCTGGCAGTAAAGGGGCTATAGTCAGTCTTAGAGGAAACTGTACTTTATTTCTCTTATATTTGCCCTGAGACTCTGGCTACCCTGGGACACATTTTTGGTGGTGAAATTTCATCCTTATACAGATAAAAATTAGTTGCCATTGAGTCTATTCCAGCTATGCCAACCCCATGTGTGTCAGAATAGCACTAAGCTCCTTGGGTTTTCAATGATTTTTCAAAAGTAGATGACCATGTCTTTCTTCCAAGGCACCTCTGGGTAGACTCAAACCTCCAACTTACCAGTTTGCAGTACAGCACATAAACTCAAACAACCAGGGACTTTCTTACACAGGTGGCGAAAAACAAACAAACAAACAAAAAAAAAATTGCTTTATGAGTAGCAGTGAAAAACTATCTGATTTATTACTGGACAACTTTATGAATAGCCCTGAAACATTGTCCAATCCAGTGCCAGAAGATGAGCCCCTCACATCAGAAAGCACTCAAAATACAACTGGGAAAGAGCTGCCTCATCAGAATAGAGCCAACCTTAATGATATGGCTAAAGTAGAGCTTCTGAGACCTGCGTTTGCTGATGCGGATGACTCAAAATGACAAGAAACAGCTACAAATATCCATTAGTAATTGGAACATGGAATGTACAAAGTACAAATCTAGAAACATTGGAAGTTGTAAAAATGAAATGGAACACATAAAGACTGATAATCTAGGCATTAGTGACCTAAAATGGAGTGGTTTGGCCATTTTGAATCAGACAACCATATAATCACACATGGGTGTGCCGGGAATGAAATATTAAAGAGGAACTGTGTGGCGTTCATCATCACAAACAATGTTTTAAGACATATCCTGAAGTACAATTCTGTCAGGGATAGGATAATATCCATACACCTATGAGGAAGACCAGTTAATGCTACTATTACTCAAATCTATGCACCAACCACTAAAGCCAAAGTTGAGGAAATTGAAGACTTATACCAACTTCTGCAGTCTGAAATTGATGAAACATGTAATCAAGATGTGCTGCTTATCAACGGTGACTGGAATACAAAAGTTGGAAACAAAGAAGAATCACCGGGAGTTGGAAAATATGGCCTTGGTGACAGAAATAACGTTGGAGATTGCATGATAGAATTTTGCAAGACCAACGACTTATTCGTTGCAAATATCTGTTTTTAAGAACACAAACGACAGCTATACATGTGGACTTCACCAGATGGAGTACACAGGAATCAGAGTGACCACATTTGTGGCAAGAGCTGATGGAGAAGCTCAGTATCTTTAGACACAACAAGGCCAGGAGCTGATTGTGGAACAGACCATCAACTGCTCATATGCAAGTTCAACTTGAAGTTGAAGGCAATTAAAACAAGTCCACGAGAGCCAAAATATGATCTTGAATATATCCCTTCTGAATTTAGAGACCATCTAAAGAATAGATTTGATGCATTGAACATCAATGACCAAAACCCAGTGGAATTGTGGGATGATATCAAGAACATCATCCATGAAGAAAGCAAAAGTTCATTTAAAAGACAGGAAAGGGAGAAAAGACAATAATGGATGTCAGAATAGACTCTGAAACTTGCCCTTGAGTGGAGAGTAGCTAAAGTGGGTGGAAGAATTGACAGGATAGAAGAGCTGAACAAAAGATTTCAAAGAGCAGCTAGAGAAGACAAAGTCAGTTATCGTAATAAAATATGCAAAGACCTGGAGTTAGAAAATCAACTCCAGCATTTCTCAAGCTGAAAGAACTGAGGAAAAAATTTAAGCCTTGAATTGCACTATTGAAAGATTCTATGGGCAATATGTTGAATGATGCAGGAAAGATCAATAGAAGTGGATGGAATACAGAGTCACTATACCAAAAAGAATTGGTAGATGATTATCCATTTCAGGAGGTGGCACATGATCAAGAACCAATGGCATTGAAGGAAGAAGTTGAAGCTGCTCTGATGGAAGTGACAAAAAAACAAGGCTCCGGGAATTGATGGAATACCCATTGAGATGTTTCAACAAATGGATACTGCACTGGAGGCACTCCCTTGGCTATGCCAAGAAATTTGGAAGGCCAACTGACTGGAAGAGATCCATATTTGTACCCATTCCAAAGAAAGGTGATCCCACAGAATGTGGAAATTATCAAGCAATATCATTAATATCACACACAAGTAAAATCTTACTGAAGATAATTTGAAAATGGTTACAGCAGTATGTTAACAGAGAACTTCTAGAAATGCAAGCATTATGTCCTCCAAATTTATCCACATTGTTAGATGATTCGTGTATTCTTCACTATTCTTTAATGTTGCATTTAATGTTGCATTGGGTTTCTGAGGAGGTATTACTATGGAAGTAGATTGTCCAACCTTCCTTCCGAGGAGTGGCTGGTGGGTTTGAACTGCTAGCCTTCTAGTTAGCAGTCAAATGCCTTAGGTACTGCACCACCAGAACTGCCTTAATTTTGCATAGTATTCTATTTTGTGAATATACCATAGTTTGGGTTTCTATTCATCTGTTAATGGGCATTTAGGTTGTTTCCATTTCTTTTCTATAGTGAGTTGTGCTGTGATAAACATGGGTGTGCATATGTCTGTTCGTGTCCTGTCTTTCACCTCTTTAGGATATATTCCTAGTAATGCAATTGCTGGATCAAATGGTATTTCTATTTTTAGTTTTTTAAGGAAACACCATACTATTTTCCATAACGGCTGTACCATTTTGCAGTCTCACCAGAAGTGTATGAGAGTTCCAATCTCTCCACAACCTTGTTAGCATTTGTTATTTTCTGTCTCGTTGAACTTTGCTATTATTGCTGGGGTGAGATGCTATCTCATTGTTGTTTTGATTTGCATCTCTCTAATGGCTAAAGAGGGAGCTCTGGTAGCATAGTGGCTAAGACACTTGCCTGCTAACCAGACGGCTGGCGGTTCAAACCCACCA